GAAGACAGGGTTAGATGCAATCTTGATAGCACTCGTATTGTCTACATAGAGAGGAATAGGAGTAGGAACCTAAATGCCAAGATCCATAAAGAGATAATGTAACCAAACAATCTCACTGCAAACCGAAGACATGGCCTCACACTCTGCTTCAATGAAAGACTTGGAGACTATATGTTGTTTCTTACACTTCCAAGAGATGAGTGAATCACTCATAAAAACACACCACCCAGAAGTGGACCTACGAGTGACTGGACAATTAGTCCAATCCGCATCAGCATATGCTCTCAACTGAATAGGAGAGGAGAACAGTCACTGGGAAGTTGTGCTTCTAACATATTGAATGATGCGATGAACAACAGTCATATGAGGCTGACGAGGAGCAAAAACAAATTCACTAATAACCTGGACAGCATGAGAAATATCAGGCTGAGTCATAATGAGATAAATGAGGGACCCCACAAGCTGGCGATATAAGGCAGCATCAGGAAGTAATGGACCTTCAAATTTATATAGCATAAGATTTAGCTCCATAGGTGTGTCAACATGCTTTTCATCATTAAAACCAGCAAGTTTAACAAGGTCAGAGGCATACTTCTGCTGACAAACAAAATACCCTTGATCACTATGTACTTCCAGTCCCAAGAAATATGTGAGAGGGACCAAGTCCTTCATGTGAAAGAAATTATGAAGTAATAGTTTCAATTCACGAATGCCTTCAGCATCATTCTCAATCAACAAATAAAGAGTGATCAGAAGAACTCTGGCTATATCTAGCAGCAACTACAACACCGCAAAAGCATTCAAACCATGCCCGGGGAGCTTCTTTTAGACCATATAGAGATTTTTTGAGGCGACATACTAAAGAAGGATCACTGCAGTATCCAGGAGGAGGCTTCATGTAGACCGTCTCCTTCAACTGACCATGAAGAAAGGCATTCTTCACATCAAGCTGGCATATGGTCCAAAACCGAGCAGTAGACACTGCTAAAAGAACACGGAATGTGGTGATCTTTGCAACAAGAGCAAAGGTTTCTTCATAGTCAACACCATACTCCTGACTATATCCTTGGGCAACTAAACATGCCTTGTATCGATCAAGAGATCCATCAGACTTCAGCTTAATGTTGTAAACCCAACGACTCCCAACAATGGATGCATCTGGATGAGAATGCACAAGATCCCAAGTGTCATTCTCATGTAAAGCATGAATCCCTGCATCCATGGCTTCCTTCCAATGAGGGTTATTATTAGTTTCCTGATAGGAGCAAGGAACATCTGTGGAGGATAGGACAGCAAACAAAGAGCTATGGTTTGAAGGAAAACCATAGCAGTCAGGAGGTCTAGATATACGAGTAGAAAGATGAAGAGGAACAAGAGTATGAAGAGTGTCTGAAGTAGAAGTATCACTTACAGGAGCAGTGGTAGGGTGATGATTTGAACCAGGAAGAAAGAGTCGCAGGCACAGGGGCTGAAGCATATAACCGCTTGCGAAAGAAGACGAGAAAGTCCTTCTCAGCAGAAGGAGGTGGAGCATCCTATGAATCAAACTATGGCAAAATAGAAACAAACTATGCAGATAGCCTAGCAATTCCAACAAAAAATGAAATGTTCTCAAGGAAAACAACATTACGTGATATACGAATGCGACGAATAGAGGGATCATAGCAAAGAAATCCTTTGTGGTCAGTGTTGTAGCCCACAAAGGCACACATGACAGACTATTGCAGACAATTTAGAATGTTCACGAGAGGGAAGATGAACAAAGCACACACATCTAAAGACATGAAGCATAGATAAATCTGAAGAACGGCCAAATAACTTCTGAAAGGGAGACATATTACCAAGAATTGAGGAAGGAATATAGTTGATCAAAAACATAGTTGTACTGGTTGCCTCTACCCAAAAGCAAGGTGGAGTATGGGACTCCTGCAATAATGTCCTCACAACGCTGAGGATATGTCCATTCTTGCGCTTGGCCACACCATTTTGCTGAGGAGTATCTGGACAACTTCGTTGCACTTGTATTCCATGATCCTTCAAATAGGATAAAAATCTCCATCAGTGTATTCTCCCCCTGAATCTGAATGGAGAATACGCACTTGTGATTGAAACCGAACCCGCACCATAGCATGAAACAACTTAAATGTTGGGAACACCTCAGACTTGTGGCGAAGAAAGTATATCCATGTGTACCTGGTACAATCATCAATGAACAACGCAAAATATTTGTATCCAAGCCGAGAAGAGACAGAAGTAGTCCAGACATCACTATGTATAAGCTCGAAGGAAGAGGTAGCATGCTCATATATGTGAGGAAAAGGTAAGGTACGACTCTTACTTAAGCAACAAGAAACACAAGATGTATCAAAGGTGTGCAAGGAAGGAACTTTATTCTTAATAAGGCCTGAATCAAACAAAAAATTAAATTTTTCAGAACGTAAATGACCTAGACGTTTATGCCACAAGTCCCAAACATTATTTCTATAATTCATAAAGGAATTAGAAGTGAAGAAACTAAAATAAACTGATGATGTTGTTGTTTAAGGCTTCTCAAACTCCAATGCAAAAAGACAGTCCAACCTGCGCCCCTTCCCAGTGTTCCAGTCCTGAATCAAACATCCATCCTGAGAGAAAATGAGAATGTTACCTTCATCAATTAATTGGCCAACAGAAATCAAGTTTATAGTGAGATTAGGAACAAGAAGGGTCTTGGTAAGAGGGAAAAATGCAGTGGGTGAAAGCTTAAGAGACAGGTCACTACTACCGATGATGTTTAACTTTTCACCATTGGCAGTAACAATATGTTTGTGATGGGTTTTAGTAAGATTACTTGTTGGTTAGGGTAAGCTCCTGTCATGTGGTTGGTAGCTCCAGAGTCAATGATCCAAATATGAGAAGGAGAAGCATAATAACCAGAAAACTCACTAGGTAAGCCAATAGCAGAAAGAGCAGAAGGAATAGCAGATGTTACCAGTTGTCGAATGTTTTGCTCAACCATAGATGCCAGAGAATCACCTTTAACAAAAGAATCGCCACTATCGGAGGCCATTTCAGCAAGAAAATAGTAGTCCAGGCACAAAGATATCAGAGACAACCAAATTCAACAATCAAGAACTCTGGAGGACAGTCCAAAAAAGGCAAGTTTTTAAGACTGTCAAGTCTAAGGCCTTTCAAATATGAATCTGAAGTCTAAATCAAATAAATGGGAGGCAAGAAAACCCTAGGACAACACCAGATCTAGGGTTATAAGTCGATCGAGTCAGCCGATTGAGAGAGATCTATGATTTACCAACACATCAGACGTCTTCTTCACAAACAAGGAGGTATCTTATGCTGATTGAGGCAGTCCTTAAAAACTCCAAACTAGAAACTGAGTGTAGGGTTAAGGAGCTTGAGAGAACCCTTCAATCTGGAGAGAAAAACTTAAATCGCAGGCTGATGTTGAAGGCCTAAAGTCCAAAAAAGGTTGCAGTCCAAAAATGGAAATTGTACAGTGCTGCCGCCCCAAGAAGAAGATCAAAACTCCTTCGAAAACTTCACCAAATCAGATGTTGTTTGTAGGTAGAATAAATCAGGTCTAGGCGACGCTAGATTTGAAGTCCAAAGCTGTTGCAGTCCAAAAAAGGAAATTGTATAGTGTTGCCGCCCCAAGAAGAATATCAAAACTCATTCGAAAACTTCACCAAATCAGATGTTGTTTGTATGGAGAATAGATCAAGTTTAGGCGACACCAGATCTGAAGTTGGGCCCCAAACCAATGTCTCCCAAGAGATCTAAAGAAATCTCTCCTACTGGTTACGCAAAGAAGAAGGAACAGAAAAGGGTTGATCAAGATAGCCCTAATACGACAGGTTTACTTCTTCTAGTAAGGTTCAAGAGAGCGAGAAAATAGATTAGAGAGCAACCTGCTCTGATACCATGTCAACACTCTTAGCTGAATAGAGAAAAGAACAAGAATAATCTTAGAGGTGTCAAGAATGAATGACCCCCACCTCAAAGAGTCTCACATATATTAAAAGATATGTACAATTACAAGAATGCCCATACAGGGCTGAAAGAGAAAAGAATAATAAGATGTAAAAGTAACATACAACAGGAACTATACTAATAAGGTATATCAAGTTATAGAATCTCCACACTTGGAGGAGTAAGAAACAAAATGTTATTGCTCATTCCAATGCTAAAGCTGAACATAGGTCAATGGAAAATGGTGTGGCTGAAGTATTATGGTTGGAATCCCTATTTGAGGAGTTGGGCATCACTTATGAGAAGCCCCTAATGTTTTTTGATGAATATGAAAAGTCCCTAATGTTGTGCTGTAATAATCAGGCTACCATTAACATAGCCCATAATTCGGTATAGCATGACAAAACTAAGCATATTGAAGTGGACAGACACTTTATCAGAGAGAGAGTTGCTTCACAAGAAGTGTGCCTTCCATATATCACCTCCAACATGCAACTTACAGATCTTTTCACTAAAGCAATTCCAAATACAAAGTTAGAGGCAAACCTATGCAAGTTGGGAATGACAAACATCTATTCCCAACTTGAGGAGAGTGTAGAGAACATTAATGTGGTCCCCACCTTATTTATGTGGTCCCCACCTTGTTTATGTTTGTTTATTTATGTTTATTTCAGTCGGTAATTATTTTTCAGTTGGTAGTTATTGGTAGTTATTCTCTTTTCATTGTCTATGTAAACTGTAGGGGTAATTCAGGCTTTTCCCCAATATTTTAATTGTTAATATAAAATGCTGTGGGGCAACAATCATAGATATAACCCACAATTCTGTTGACTTCTCTTTGTCTTCTTCTTCTTTTCTCCTCTCCTTCTTCTTCTCTTATTCTCGAACTACTCTTCTTATTTTGTACATTATATCTAGGACTGACTGCAGTCCTACTTTACAACTAAAAACAACAAAAGAAATATATCAAGGTAAACTAACTTATATTCCTGAGATTTACTAACAGCAGTGATTACAATGAAAGATAGTATTACCTCCAAAGCACTTTTAAACCTTGCAAGAACCTCATAACCCAATTTTCTTATCCCTTCATCTGGTGAAGATATACTAAGGAATGCTATTGCAAGCAATCCCAGACCAGCAAATTCTGAGGGTTCAACGTAACCCATTGACAGACCATGAATTGAGAAGCGCAAGATAAATGCAGGATCATATCGTTGTATTCTTTCCAAACTTGTTGATGGTGTCTTCTGAAAAATCATCAAGATAGTAACTTATGAGTTGTGAACAAGTTATAAGTACATAAATCAGCCAAGGAGGAATGATGCTTCAAAAGGGAATGAGCAATGGACTTAAGTAAATTGAAAACAATAATACCTCAATCATATGGACATTAATATCCTTCTGAGACTTCTCCACAGGTGTAGCGGCATTATATACCACCCTATCATAGGGAAAATGTAGTACTGTTGTTACACACAATTTGGGATTAATGGGAATGTTCTCTCTGAATTGCCTTCTTCGACGTTCTTCAACTGTTTCACAATCAACAATATTGTTGGAGGACAGAACTTTCTCCAATACTTGTTCTCTTCTTAATTTTAAAGCAGAACACCCCCATAGGTAATCCATTTCTGCAATGCTTCCACACTCAGATCCTTCAGTTGATTCAATCTCAAGCATGAGATTGAAGATCTCCAAGTCAACTTCACTAAGAGTTGCACCATAACAAGATAAAAGCAAAGAAAGCAGTTCTTTGGAATTCATGCCAACATCTTTTCCAGAATGACTATTATGGTTATGACCCTTGAGATGATACAATACTCTGAGTAGCTTAATTACTCCCAACTTTTTCTTGTATAAATCACATGCACCAGAAGAGCTCTTGCCATCAATTGCACTTTCAGAGGTATGACTAACAAATGTTCTCAGAATGCTGGATATAGGCCTCAACAGTATCCCAGCATGAGAAAGTCCAGAAGATTCAGAGATTGAATCACTCCAAAGAATAGTGGAGACAAACTGAGAATGTGCAAGCAATAGATTAAAAGCCATACCAAAAGAAAATTTGCCTTCAGATAGCAAGGAAAGAACAATATGGAGCGCCTCCATAGTTGTTGGATCCTGAAACCTATGAAGAAGAGTTGATCTGATAAAATGTTTTAAGAAAGGAATAGAGTGCAATTTTATAAGACTGTTCTGCATCTGTTTGGACAATTCAACAATGCTTCCCAAAACAAAAGATTCCAAGTGTCTGAATAGTTTTGTGCAGTTTGTATTCTCTGATTTCTCAGAATCATCAGCAACTATAGGGAATTGATTTACAATTTTATGCCAACTATTCACCAAGATGTTCATAAACCTCAGTCTCTCAAAATCCTCTCTGTTGGATCCTACTCCCAGAGGCATCTCCTTGGGATCCCCGTCAGTTTCTGTTGCTACAGCCTGATGCTGATACTCCCATGGAAATAAAAGCAACTTAGAAAATGATACCTTTCCAACAACTTTGTTTATGAAGTTCAATACTTGCTCAAGTGATGACATATTTATCTCAGTAAAATCAAAATCCAGAAAATCACCACATGCACCAGAGCGTGGGCAAATCGCATCAAATAGCTTAAGTCGTTTCTTCAACCGCATTGAATCTTTAGAAATGGAAAAGTAGTACTTTAACATTTGAACCGCTTTTCCAAGTAGACTACTATTGACAAGTTTAAGAAATTTCTCAGTAGACGTAGGCAACTCCCCATATTCTTCTTGAAATATGTCTCCAGACACATAACTCTTCCAGTTTGAGAAGCGAACCAAGAGAATCTTTGAATATAATGATAATATACATTCAAAATGCTCTTGGTACTGATTTCTGAACCGTATAGAATTCAAGTATGAAAAAACAACAGGCAAAAGCATCACAAATTCCTCATCTGAAAGAGTATAATTACAACTCACCCTCATGTCACCATTAACTGGCAAATCTTTGTTCAGGAGATGCAAAAACATCTCCCCAAAGAGGGACAAATGCAGAGGACTAACTTCAGTAAGTACAAACAACAATTTTGCTTTCGTTGAGCTCATCTCGTAAATGCAATGAGAAAGCATCTTCATAGGACTGCCAAGTATCATCCTTGAAATTGCCATACTTATTGGGAGAAGAGCAGCTTGAGGTTTGATATAATTCTGTTTATATACAACATTCACAGCTTTTAACAAACATAAATATGCACAATCTAGTTCAGAACAGGTGGCTAACTCAACTACCTTACTATAAATTTTCTCAAGAAGACAAATTTTAGAAGCCCCCTCATCTATTTCTGAAAACAAGTGGAATGTCAACATATTTGTGTTTAGACGGTCAGCGGAACTGGATAGCATAACAAAAGCACCATCAGCAATATAAAGCCCAAGAGAGAGAGCAGCAACCTTGGAATCTTTACAGTCAGTGAAGTCATTTTGGTCAACTTCACAGAAAATCCACTCAACAAGTTCCAACAACTCAAAAGGGCACATAAAATGACTTAGGGCGTGAAACACATAAAAAGTTGGAACAAGGGGCATAAAATCTTTAATCCCAATGCACAAATCAAACTTCTCTTTGAATACCAACACCAATTGCTGAGCCAGGGCATTGAAAGATTTTATAAGCTGTTCTTTGGCGGTATAATTAACTTCAGGCATGGAGTTATAGCTGCTGCATGAATTCAACAAGTATTCAGACACTATTGTCAAGATATCCAGGATATGATGGTCTAGTGGATGAACTCTATGTTTTGATGAACTCATAAAAGCTTCCAAACTGTCCCCAAAACTTCCATCTCTAAGTTCTTCATTACAGCACAAAGGAAGTGACAAGAATGCAGTCACTGCAGGATGCTTGAAGATAGTTTCCACTATTTCTGGAATATATGTCATAGTTTCTAAACCATCAATATCAGGATTTACAAGCAAAAGTCGTGTCAACAAGTGCTTTATGAGAACAAAGCAAGTTCCAAACAACTTTTCCAGTTCACCTAATGGTCTAATTCTGTAGGATAACTGTATCTGATGGACCCAGAACAGTAAAAGGCGGAGTGATGCAAAGGAACCATCAGATGACTCCTCAGAGAACTTAGACAGAAGCAAGTCTTGCATTCTTGTCATATCCAGAAAGCATGAATTGCCAATGGTCAGAATTGCAGGAAACAACATGTAGAAAGGCACATCTTTCAGAAAGGAACTAAATGCAGCAGAAGCAGATTCTATTGAATCAAAATCCACACAACTAAGTAATCCTTCTCCAGAAGACACATTTGTTATGTCACTGGTCAAATAGGTATTATCATCTTTGTAGTTACTACCCATCATTGCCCTAACCATTTCCAGACCAGAAAGTAAAATATGAGGCCATACATCAGCAACATTGGCAAGAAGGTCCCGTTCAAGGAAAAACATAGATGATAAAAATGACTGAGGCACTCCAAAATGTTGCAGAATAACAATAACAGAAGGAAAGTTTTCTACTATATTATCAGGTGCTGTGCATATTAGTGATGAGGAAAAAGCTCTGGCAACTCCTAATCCCCCATGGGATTCACTTCTTAAAATCCTTTTCACTTCACCAAGTGCCTTGATGAATGAACTACCATCTGCATTAATAAATTTTTGACTGCTGGAAAACCCATTACAAGCTTGTTGATGTGAGATACTATGTGCAAAAAATAACAGATTTTTTAGTGGTCGCCACTCACAAAGAAACTTTCCTGAATCATCATCCATTGGGCAACGGTTGTCAAATCTTTCAGTTAAAACCAAATCAATAAGAGCAGAAAATAGCCCTTCTCTTACCTGCCAGTTTCAGTTTGCAAACCATGTCATGTTGTCATATAAAAAGAGAAGGCACACAATTGAAGTAAAACAGAAGTTCTTACCTGAGTCTGCAAGAGAAAACTTAAGGTATTGCACACATACATTGAAATCATTGATTTCTCAGATACTTTAAAAGTTCCAGAACCAGAATCCAGCAACCTTATGCATTTTTCGAGAGCACAGATAACAAGAGGACTGAAATCAAGAGAAACATCTGCAAAATAAGTGGTCAAGATTAAATATTTTTTCTTTTTTGCTAAATCAAGGAATAGGTTAAACATAGATCCTATTTTTCATTACCATATGAAAGAGTAGGAGACAAAAGAAGAATCAAGTTCATTAAAAAAGTTGTAAACCTCTGGACTTGAAGATTGCCAAAAATAAAAACTGAGAAATTCAAAGACACATAATTATTAAATAATATGCAAATACGGCATGATCTGAAAACTAAATTTCAAAACTTCCACAAACTGAACCTAACAACGCACCATAAAAGGATACCTTAATTACTTAAACTTACTAGGCATAACACTAAAGTAAAAGTGTAGAAATCAAAACATAATAACATTGTCAAAAATAATTATCATCACAGCTAATCTTTCATGGCATGCATACATCTGTACAAGGAAAATGAAAATAAAGGCAAACAGTGCAGATGATATGCATTTTTTGATTGTTCATTCCTATTTCTTCTTCTCACAGGGTCATTTTACAAGGATTATAAACTCAGCATGCGAACTACAGAAAGAAAATTCTTTCATTTTGATAGATGAAACAATGTGTTTGGAAAACACAGAAGCAGTGGGACTATCAACAACCAAAAATTTGACAAATTCATCCACCAATAACTGATGCACTGACTTGTTTACTCTAACCAGTCAATGGATGCTGTCTCGGATGGGGACGTAGCTAAAGATTGGCTCAAAGGATTTATCTAAATCCATAATTTATGGACCTTCCTTATGGATTAACCTAGTCCCTGGTAGGTTTTATTTTTGGCCATGCCTCCAAGTTTTGGTATGCACAAATAATTCTTTCGGCCAAATATAAGATGAAGCATAGGCCCCTTCCCTTTGGAAGCAATACAAACCTTCAGGGGAAAAACAAATAAATAAACTGAGACCAAATTCAAAGCAGCTAAAACTGCACAAGTAGACTTGTAATGTAGAAACATTTCAGAATCACCGTTTACCTTCAACTCCCTTTAGTTTGGAGATAATGCAACGTGCACGGTCCAAATATTTGTATAAGTTATTTCCTATTGTAGAAACAGCATCACACAAGAATGAAATAACAACTGCAGACAAGTGCTGAAGTGCTTCAATCCCTTGACTTTTCGCAGAAGGCTTATCTCTATCATAGCCAGGTAAAAATAAGAACCATGCATCTATCTCATTTATGTTCCTGTCAAAGGCACCCGTACTTAACATAGCTGCTCGTGACAGCACATATGCTTGATCCTTTATCTCTTTGCGTGGTGAAAATATCAATAGATTAATAAACTGCTGCAAATGCTTGTACATCAGATGAGGAGCTCTGATGGAAACCCTGTTCCCAGGGGTCCATTTAATATGTTCTACCAAAAGAGATAATAGAGATCGCTGTAGAATACTGGATAAAGTTAAGGGATCACTGGGGAGAAGCTTAAAGAAATCAAATGCTCCTTCCGCCCCTATAGGCATTGTTCGCTGCAAGAGTACAAATAATTGTTTATTGTTTAGAGCAAAACCAGAGGTGGAATTTTTCTGATAACTTGTACAGTTCACATGAACAATCAAATGCAATGTTTCACCAGAAAAGGTCTGTATTGGCATTGCATGGGATAATAAAAGGGCTGTCATTAGGCTCACAAGTAAAATGCAGTCAGAGATGAAGGGAAAATGACAAGTTGCATGCATCAAGATTCAAAATGCAACAGTTACATTTTGAAGAAATATGGTACCATAATTATCCTCTTTCCTAACCATGACCCATTAAGTATTCTTTTATTGGCAACATTAAACTTTTATTGATTATGAAAATGAGAACGAATTACATATGATGCAATAGACACCAGACATTCCATGAATGTAGTATAGCAACTACTACCCAACCTCCTTCTCTAGTTAATGCTTAATTTATTCATGCATTAAGCAAATGCCTGTAAAACAATCGATCCTTGTTTACCCCTTGTTTGGCCATTGAATTAGCCAAACCATTTGGGAGTTTGTTTGCAGTTATGGGAAGCTGCCCTGGTTCAGTAGTGGATTTTGTCAAGAGCTGGTGGTGAGATGGCCTGACAAAAAGGGGAAAGCTCACCTGGAATGTGGTCCCTGCTGTGGTTTTTTGGTGTCTATGGCAGGAGAGGAATGCAAGGATTTTTAAAGGCAAAAGCAGTTCTGTCAATTCTACATTTCAGAAGGCTTTGGGAAAGATGTTTCCATGGCTAGCTATACACAAGTTGTTTAAAAATACAAATCTTGATTCCTTTTTAGTATATAGAAATCTTTTTTGTAAATCAGGGGTTGGGGTTATAGTGCTGCAGGGGCAGCTTTTGTAAGCCATGGGTACAGCAACTCGTTGTACATGACTTTTTGCTTTATAATTCAACACAATACTTTACCTTCTTTCAAAATAAATTATAAATTACTTCAATATTGTTGATTTTGAAAGAACAAAGTACTTATCAAGATTTGATAGTGTTAAGAAACTTAGGGTCATTATTCCACTTTTAAAATTATATTTTCTTTCTTGCCAATCAGAAGATCACAGTGGAGAAAAAGGTTATCATTTTATGAGACCATTCCTTTAAGTATGGAAAGCAACATTAAAAAAAAAAAGAACAATATGACAAAAGCTTATCTTGATTATGACTATCATTATGCTAAATGAGAATTATTAAGGGAGTGAAGCTCACAAGATATAATGTGAGAGCATCAAGCAACTTTGAGTGAAAATAAACATGTGGGTCTTTTAGCTCATTTCCTGGCAGGGAGCACTTGTTTAAACCCCAAATTCCGGCTATAACCTTCACAAGTTCCATTTCACTGTCCAACTCCTCTGTGATAAATGCACCTGTAACCTTCTTAATCTCCCCCTGCAAAGTAGTATCAGGCTCAGCATTAATCCCACTTATAAGAATATCTGCATCTTCATTCACTGTCCCATATTTCAATTTCTTTGCAGCACCCCTGTCATGAACTTCAGGAGAATTGACAGATTTTCTATCTCTTTTCAATCTTGACTTTGAAGTACTGGAATGGCTGTAACTCAGGGAAGAAAGTAACATCAACAGAACTTGAGGATCCGGCAGCAAAGCTCTAGCTTCATCCTGAATTTCTTGCTTGAGAGATACCCACTTCTGCATCGCTGGATTAGAACTACAGAAACAGTTGATGACACCAAGTAAGTTGTCCAATGACTTCAGTGCCTCCAGAAGTAGCCTCAAGGAACCATGTTTCACAGCAACATTAGTGCGACGTAAACCCCTATCAATTACCATCCGACTAAATAAACGAGGAACAAAACACTTCAGCAGACACTGCACCTCAGGACTCTTTAGAGAAGGTGGATCTTGTGGCTGAGAGGAAGTGGAACCAAAAGGAATATTCATGCTTGCTGAGGATACCAAATCTGCTGCCAGGGAAATGGCAGCAAACCTGCAAGTGTTTTGGCAAGGATGCAAATTTACAATGATGAAGAATAGACAAAAGATTATAGGAAAGATAACATTCTAAATAGGAACTAACCATGTATCTGATTCACGAGGTTCGAGAATATAAGGGAACTCGTCCATGTAAGCTGAACCCAAAGATGGCCTCCCATTAACAATAGCCAACAGCAGGTCTCTGTGGTAGCCAATTTCTGTTGCCTTTAGTTTCTTCATTAAATCCAGCAGTCGCTTTGGATTACCTCTTAATGGGTTTGGATGAGCCTTCAAATCAGGCATCAACCCATTATGAGGATCAGTACAGACCATAACTAGAATTTGGTGTGCTATCTCAGCAGCAGGCCCACCAAGTGGGTTTCCTGAAATGCTAACTAACTGATCCAAAGTAACAGTGCCAAATAGGACACTCCTAAGACCTGGGGGCACCAATGACTCTGGCACAAGGACCCTATCACGCAATGTGGATAGAACATAAATAACAGTCTCACTATCATCACTCCCAAGCCCACGAAGCACCCCTGAGTACATATCCTTCTGCTGTAAGACCCATCTCAGTAATCTTGGATTCCCAATATCTAAAAATGACATTGCATACTTGATGAATGATTTCCTTGTTGAGTGTTTGCCCTTCTTCCCAACCTTTTTCTGCTGATACTCCGCAAGCTTAGGGAACACTGAGAGTTTGAAATCGAAATTCTTAGCAACCTCAGAAGCCAACCCCACACCACGCCCAACAACTGCTGCCAATAGCAATAATGCCGCATTCTGACGACTTGCTTCTTTGCTGTTCAGTTCCGCATAAACATCTTCTAACTTGCTTTCAATAATGGAACGAGCTAACTTATCGAGCCTCCGGCTTATGGTAATCCTTCCGATGTCATTTGGTTTATATTTCCCATCGGAGTGGTCCAAAATCGTGGAGATTAAAGATAGAACGTGCGACATTCCAGGTTTCCCTTGTCGGAGCTTCCAAACCTCCACCAACTCCGAGCACATGGGGGAAGCTTGGACGTATTGACTGAGCAGTTCACCTCCAGAATCACCTCTCAGCAGCCTGATAAATTCGTTTGAAGCTTCTGAATAAATCTCAATTTCAACCGAATGTATGTTCCTCAATAACTCTCTCAGTTTTATTTCATACGATGTCTTAACTGCCACTTTCAAACTTTCTTCTCTCTCTGTTTCACTGTCATCTGCATCTATTGTAAGTGTAATTAAAACAAAAAAAAGAAAAAAATTATCATTAACCAGGGAAAAAACTATACTAATGAAAAGTTTGAAGTAAAAGGTTTTTCAGCTCCAAAAACCAAACTACAAATTAAAAGAAAATAAGTGAAAAGTAATACAATTCATAAAGTATCAAAATCGTAATAAGAATACGTTAAACTACAACACCATTGATCAAGGGAGATAGTTCACATTAGGAATGATGCTCTTTCACCTGATCTTGATTAAATGAAGAAGCCAACTTACCTTCAATGTTATCTCCAGTTTCCAATGGAAAAACACCATCCTCTTCCGTCAGAAGATCTTCTTTATGGATTTCCGCATTGTCTTCGATTTCTGTCGCTCCTTCTAAAAACTCTCCTTCGGAGCTTGAACTCGTTTCCTCCATTAAAACGTTCAGCAAACTAAATGTTAATGCTTCAATGAATATACTTGTTTTGGATGGTTAGGGTTTTCGCAGTCTTCTGGAGTTAGTTTCGAAACTGTGACGAATTCCGTTACGATAAGCTTTCAGGTAAATGAGCCATGTTCGATGGCTCCTCCCTCCAAGGCTCCAGCAAGCAAAGAACCGGAAAGTGGGGAAGCGGAATGAGGGAGTCCGCCTGAACTCAGACAATGCGATTATTTATACCCCCAAATGCTTTAAAAAAATATTCTGTTTAACTACCTGTAAGATTGGAAATTGATTAACTGTACCCCCACTGTTTATATATCCCCTTCGAGTACCCCTATGTTTTTTATCAATTGACTAATTAAACCCTTACCATAAGTGTTTCATCAAAATCTCAATCCGCTCACATATTACATCACATGACTCTTATATTTTTATAAGATGACCCTAATACTCTTTTGCGGTTGAAAATGCCCCTTCGGTTTCATGAAACATTGGGTTAAGACCGATGATAACTAAGGCCCTATTTGGCGTGTCTTTTCGTGCGATCTTTCGGCTGCTTACAAGTCGGGAAGACCGAAAATCGGTCTATTTCCGTTTGGCATGAGGAAGATCATGCCACCAAAAGATGAGGCGCCGAAAAAATGCGGGAAGCCCATTTTGAACTGATTTTGGGAACCCGCATCTTCTGCATTTTAATCTCATGCGGAAAGACCCGAAACAACGTATAAATAGATGTACATTTGCCAAATGGTCTTTGGGCTGCCCAGATCTTATGTCAAAAGCTCAATGCATCTATTGACTATCAGAGCTACGAGAAGATATTCTCAAAAAAACTTACCAAACAGACCCTAAATAGGGTTTTGTTTGTTCCCAGGCCAACAACGACCAGAGGTAAGTGTTGTTGATTCATGGTGAACCGGTGAACCAAGGTGGATCTCGGTGAACTAAAGATACAGATGGCTACTGACATCAAGTCAAAGGTGAATCAAGTAGCAACGACTACCCCCAAGTGACCCACTAGCGGCCATCGATGGACAGGTAAAACAATTATATGCTGGTGTTGATCCGCACTGATTCGATGAAAGGGCTAAGCACACAACCCCTACAGCCACCCTTGCTTGCACAGTCCGTAAGACTGGAATTCTTCAGAGAACTAATTAACTCACCTTCAAATTCAGAAGATCAAAACGACACAGTGATGATATATTATCCTCCTCTTCCCTCAACTTGCTTGTTCCTTGAATCGGTCCACCTTGGGATGAACAAAGTAATCTTTCTAATCCTCCTCTGAAATAAAGAAAAAAATAGAAATTCGATGAGGATGAATGAGGATAGTGAAAAAAGTAGAAAGCTTGGCAGCAGCAATGATGAGCAAAAGAGAAAAAAAAAAACTCTGGGCTGCATTGGATGTGATGTCAAGAACCGATATAAATTTTACATCGGTTTGGTTCTGTATGCATTTGAAAAAGAGTATAATTATTATTGACATAAAACTACATTATGGATCAGTTTTGCGTGCGTTTGGATGGATTGTAGTTTTACGTCGATAATAGATGTAAAACCTCATCACCTCTAAAGTTTTACATCAATAATCGATGTAAAAACTACATTGATTTTATCAACCCCCCCCCCCTTTTTTTTTTCTTAGGCCCCATGAATAAGCTTGGGAAAGTTGGTTAATGGGTACCTTTTTTTATTGACGAACTTTACAATGTTTTTTTTTTTCATTTACTAATGGGCCCCATGGTAAAATAAACTTCACTTCTCTACGTAAGACTTATCTATCTCCTAAGTGGATAAATAACTTTTCCACATGGGGAGAAATTTTATAAAGCACAATAGGACAATTTTGCTCATTTTTATATTACTTTTTATGGGTAAAAATGTCACTCTATTATTTACTTGAGAATCTTGAAAATCGAAAGAACATTAGTAAATGCACTTACAGGTAAATGTTACCCATAAAACATTTACATAGGTAAGTTACAAAAATGCAAACAAACGAGGCCTTAATCAAAAACATCTTTCCATTTGTACAATTCAGGATCCCATTTTATGTTGCGTTTGGAATCAATGTAAAATGTCATCGGTATAAAAGTACACTGAACCTTGAAAGTAACCGTTGCTTTTTGAAAAATGCGATGGGTGAAGAGTGTAAAGCTTTACATCGATAAAATCAATGTAGTATTTACATCGATAATCGATGTAAAACTTTACGTTTGATAGGTTTTACATCGATTAATTACGTAAAACTCCACTCCATTCAAATGTATAAAACTAAATCAGAGTGGATTTTTACATCAATTGTAATTACACTACCCTTCCAAATGTGGACAAAATCGAACCAATGTAAAACCTTACACCAAATCCAAACACAGCCTTAGTTTCTGTTGCAAATTTATAATTTGCAATGATGAAAATGGCGTAAAAGACTATCTCCAACGTCATCCCCTACTCTATCTCTTATCGTTTTTTTCTTAATCATAAACTTAAGGTTACAATTCGAAGATCAATATGGAAAGAATCAACAAAATAACACTTTAAACTATAGTGGATCTACACTTTCATCTCCTATCGCTACGTCTCCAACTCTATAGATAACAAAGCACTGAAATTTCGTCTACTTGGCAAAGAATCACCAACTTGGCGTTGCAACGACAAAAAATCCATCTTAACTTGTCTAATCCTTTTGGATGACTTAAACCAAAAGGGTAAGATGGTTATTTTCATATTTGTATGTTTTATCATGTTTCTCCTTATATGTTCGCTAATTAAGCCCAAAGGTAAATGTGAAAATTCATCTTTTTCATCACGATTTAACGGAACTATCAACTGTCATACAACTTAGGTGTACTCGAAAGGAATATGTAAATAATAGGGATATAATTAGCCGATTTTCTATGCCTTAGGAGTATAGTTTAAGAGAATTCTCAAAAAATCATATCAGACAAGTAGAGCCTGAAAGTGGGCTACTACACTTATTGTAGTAGGTGGACCGTGCAAACAGGGCCCAAACCCTATGTTATGCCAAATCTATGCCTAATTTACCTACTAGCAGTTCATCAAAAAAACTCCTTGTTGCAACCTACTAAAGAAGTAAAGAGACCTCTGAAGTATTAAAGCTAAGACTCAAACCACCTCGTTCTCTACCCCAAATCTGCTATATCATCAAACTCTTTCTCCAAATGAGCATAAAAAACTCTATTTGTCTACATTTTTCCAAATAATGCTTCCATTATATGAATCCGATCCTCAATACCCATTGTGACCGACACTTGTAAACACAGTGCCGAATGGCCTATTATTAAATGGATGAGGCTTATAATGTATCTCTGTTCTGAAATTGCAAGAATGAACTCTTAGTGGTTGTCTTTGGATATGCTATGAAGTGTCATTGTGGCAATAACATTTTTTAAACCTTTTAATCCTTCACCATGCTCATGGTCAAATTTCAATGCAATTTACTTAATTTGTACTACAATCAAACCAGATAAGCTAACATTTGTACTACAACCAAACAATTTACACTCAAATAATTAGCACTACCATAGTTTTGCATCAGTGCAAATTTATTTGCACAACGCATGAGAAATAGTGCTTGAACCTCATCTTTAAACACAATATTTATGCTAGACATTTCATTCAAAACTTTTTGAAAGTTATTTAATATCTTCTTTAACATTATGCCTGTCATTGTACTTTATATTTATAAGTTTCATATTCACAAATGCTTTGTTTTGTGAGGTTTTATGCTATGTAGACTCTCCAACGTTTGCCAATAAAGTCACCAAAACCTAAGAGTTTAAGTCATTAGGATATGGGTCAATCCTTGTAAATAAGTTTCCTTGCATATCTTTTCTTTTGTTTTTTTAATGCAAAACTCTCTTTGCTATGAATCCTAATAGATGCCTTGGTTAGCATAATCATTTCCTTTGACGAAAAGTTATTTTTTTCACACAAGCTTCTTGTTTTATTAATAATTAACAAAGAGGAAGAAAGGTTTTTTTCCATATTTAATAAAGTTACATTTTCAATAAGAAAATTTTTGCAATCATGCACAAAGCCATCACACACTTTCTCCCACCAATTCAAAACATTTGGTTGTGTTTGGTTGCAGTGCAAATGTAGAAAATGAAAATTATTGTTTAATTTTGTTTTGGATTTTATTTTATTTTGCTTTATGTCTTGATTTACTTCATTTGTATTGCAATCAAACAAAATAAGTCAAATTTTGAAGCAAAATAGGTGAGAATTTTCACTGCCATGGTTTTGCATCAGTGTAAATTTATTTGCATTGCAACCAAACAACCTTTAGATCACCAACAATTGGGTTTATCATATCATTGCAAAAAAATAAACCACGCTTGTTTGGCCATCTCACATTTAAGGAAAATGTGATTTGAGTCCTCAGTTTCACCACAAAAATAGCAATCCCCATCAACATCCATGCTCCAATACCAAAGAAATGTATTTGTAGGATTAGGGAGTTTATTCTTTAATAACATGTTCAAAAAACTTTATTTTAGGGGGGAGAAACAAGACTCCATGTTTTCCTATACAATTTAGGAGCAATCTCTTGATCAAAAGGATGTCAATTGCCAACAAATAAGTTGATTTTAAGGTTGTGTTTGGTTGCAATGCAAATAAATTTGCCCTGCTGCAAAACTATGGCAGTGTAAATGATTTGAGTGTAAATTTTGACATTTTTTTGTTTTAAATTTTAGTTTATTTTGTTTAATTGCAATAAAAATGATGTAAATTAAGACATGGAGCAGAATAAAGTAAAACCCAAAATAAAATTAAATGAGAATTTGCATTTTTCCATTTGCACTCCCATGCATTTGTATTAGTGCAAATAAATTTGCACTACAACCAAACACAACCTAATGGGTAAAATCATTCTCCTTGTCCCTCAAAAGAAGAACAATGGCTTTTATTTATCCAAACATCTAGAGGGACAAGATTATTAGGATATTAATATTCCAATTATTTTATGATTGACTAATCACATTGAGACTATGAACCAAACATGCCGTAATAGTCCTTCATTAGAAATCTATTATTCTACATCAACCATTTTATTAATGAGTTTGTCACCGACTCAAACATCATTAATAAAAAAAAACTAGTGCTTCCTGTATTTCCTATCCTCATATCAAACCCTTTCTTTTTAGGGAGAATGATTGCTCAGCACACCCTAAGAATTCT